GGCTCAGTGGTTAGAGCACTTGCCTGCTGCTCTTCCAGAGGACCCAGGTTCGATTCCCAGCACCCACACGGTGTCTCACAACCTTCTGTAACTCCAGTCCCAGGGGAGTCTTACACACTCTTCTGGCCTCTATGGGAATCGCACACACATATTGCATAGATTCAGGCAAACACTTATACACATGAAATAAAACATACAGATAAGATAAAAAATACATATAATCTCAAAATGCTATGATTTAATTATTTCATTACTAATAATAATTTAATTATTTGCTAAGGAGGCATAGCATATAACCATTCCAGACTCTGTGCCTAAACAGATTAAAAAAAAAAACCTGTTAAATAAAAAATTTAAAACAGCAGCAACAAAGACACTTAAGAAATATAGCTTCTAAATAAGTGAGTTCATTTTTAATAGATTTATTTATTTTATTTTATGAGTATTTTGCTCGTATATATGTCTATGCATAGTGTGTACTTGGTACCTGAGGAGGTCAGAGGAGGGCATTTGGCTGCACTGGAATTGGAGTTATAGAAAATTGTAAGCTGCCATCTGGGTGCTGGGAACTGAATCTGGGTCTTCTTCAAAAGCAATAAGGGCTTTTATACACTGAGCCGTATCTCCAGCCCCTAATTAATAAATAAGTAAATTATTTAACTTTTCGGAAAAGCAAAAAGACTGTTCCCTGTAGTGGAAGTTTTGGTTTCTTAAAATAGCTAGTGATGTTATATTTTTGTTTTAATCCCAAGTGTTGGGTATGGGACCGATTTTAGTTTGTCCACAGCTGATAATTGCATTGTGTGGCTTGGAGAGAGCTAGTCTTTGCCAGCTACAGATAGTTTAATTCTGAGGACTTTGAGAAGGTATAAATACCAGAGCCCAGAGAGAGAAAGAGAATGCTCCGAGAAGGAAGAAGGCTGCTGCTGGTTCTTCCTGCTGTTGCGTTTGCTGGTTTGCTGGTTTGCTGGTTTGCTGGTTTGCTGGTTTGCTGGTTTGCTGGTTTGCTGGCCTACTAGATACCCTGGTGACTGAGATTGGTATTGCCGCAAAGAATCTGATGACCTCCACTAACCTCTCTCTCCTACCTAGCATTGGCGTGTTGGGAGGTATTAGGAAGGATAAGGGATTGGGGTAAAGGGAGAAAGAGATTTAATAAACCCCAATAAAGTAGATAAAAAGTAGTGCCAACAATCCCCAAAACAGCAGGAGGTGTATCAGTAATGGAAGAACCATCAGTTGTTATTTAAACAAAAACAAAGAAACAAACAAAACAAAGTTATAGGTTTACAGCAAGGTTGAGAGGTAGGTATAAAAATCACCCCCACCCCCACACACAAACCAAATATGCAGGGTCTCCCATTGCAACTCCATCACCCATCAGGCTGATGAGCCTCTGTGGCTACATCTATACTTCTGAAGTCCACAGGTCACATTACTGTCAACACTTGGTGTCAATGTCCTGTGGGCTTAGACAACTAAATTATTCATCATTACAGCATTTCACTCTGACTAGGTTATCGCTTATTTACCGACTGACTTGCTGACGGGTTTCTTGGTTGCTCCTTCCAAATTGTGGCAATTATGAATAAAGCCACTGGAAACATCCACATGCAGGTGTTTGTGTGGCCAGACTCATGGGTTTTTCCGCTCCTTTGGGTAACTACTAGAGAGTATGACTGCTGGATTGCTTGGTAATAGCATGTTTTACTTTTTTAAGAAATGGCCAACCTGTCTTCCAGTGTGTTTGAGCTTTACGTTTTGTTTTTTACGTTTCCACCAGCGAAGAACAAAAGCTCCGGTTGCTCCTAACTGCTCGTGGCAGTTCCAGGCACGTGTAGTGTTAGAGTTTTGCCACGGTGGCAAGCGTATAGTAGTGTTTTGCATGTCCCTGACAGCATCCAATGTACAGCCGATTTCCATATACTTATTTGGCACCTGTAATTCTCCTTTGGTGAGGTTCCTGTTATGGTTAGGGCCTACATTTTATTTTTGTTATTTAGGAATGTGTACATGTATGTGTATGTGGCTGTCCAGAGGCCAGAAGAGAATGTTAGAGCCTCTAGAGCTGAGGGTTGTGAGCTGCTCAGCTCAGTGGTGGGTGCTGGGACCTGAATCCAGCTCCTACATAAGAACAACAGCCATTCTTAACCATCTGAGCTATCCAGGCCCAGGGCCCACCTTTTAATTTGCTTCTTTTTCTATTGTTGGGTATTACTTTGTATGTTATGGATAAAAATTCTTGGAAAATATCTTTTCTTAGCTGTGGTTTGCCTGTTTATGCTTTCAAACATGTCTTCTGCAAAGTAGAGGCTTAACTTCAGTGTATCAAGTCTTTTCATGGGTCACATGCTACTCAGCTTTCTATCGCTACAACAATACTCAAGATGGTCAGCTTTTAGAGACAGTTAATTCTGACTGTCTCAGAGATTTCAGCCCACTTTTGTTTACCCTGCTGCTTTTGGATTTGGAGAGAGGCAGCACATTATGATGGGATGGGTGGACAGCTGTTCACCTGATTCTTCGTGATGAGCCAGAGTCTAGGGAGGAAGAAAAAGGAACTAGAGTTTTCCTTTAAGGGGACATACCCCTAGAACCCATCTTCATGGGCGGGTATTACAGGAACAAGATTTTAACACATGGACGTTAGGGACTTTTAAGATTTAAAGCATAGCAGGTCATATGCTTACATGTGTCACGTTGAGCAGGGCAGGGAGATGGCATACTCGGTAACTTGCTTACTTACTTACTTACTAACTAACTAACTTACTCGGTGCTTGGCTTCAAGCCAGACAGTCTGGGTTCAAGCTTTGGGACCCACATGGCTGAAGGAGAGAACTGGCTCTTGAAAGTTGTTGTTTGACCTTCATGTGCATGCCACGGCATGCGCGCATGAGTCTGTGTGCGTATGCACGCACGCACACATACTTAGATAAATAATTAATACATGAAAAAGGCATTGGCAAACCCAAGGTCATCCAGATTTTCCTCTGGGCATTTCATTTTGTATAATTGATGTTTTGTGACAGGAATAGTTTCTCTTTTGCATGTGAACGTTTGGTTTTAGTCAGTTGTTGTTGGAAAGGCTATCATTGATCTATTTTATTGGCTTTGCTCCTTTGCTATTGATCAGTTTGAAACAGTTATTTGGGTCTATTTTGGGAGTCTGAATTTTTATTTGCCTGTTCTTTGACTAATACTGTACCATCCTGATCATTGTAGGTTTATGGTTGAGTCTTGAGGTTGAGCAATTCTTCAGCACTGTTCTATCTGTCAATACTGTTTTGCTTAGTCTAATTATTTTACCTCTCTTACCTTAGCTGTAGAATTCACTTGTTAGTATCTTGAAATAGCTTTCTGTGGAACTGGATACAGCTTCTATTGAATTTATAGCTACAGTAATTTGGGAAGAACTAATGTCTTGAAAATACTGACTCTTCTCATCCATGAACATACAATGTATTTGTTTAATTGGCTTTTTATTCATCAATGTTTTGTAGCTTTTTTTCTCATATAGATCTAGTACATATTTTTTTAGATTTGTATCTATTTCATTTTAAGGAAGATTGTGTAAACAGTGTTACTTTTCAAAATTTCTAAACCTACTTGTTCCTTGGTATAAGAGACTGACCCTTTAGATATTAACTGTTTGTCCTGCAACCTCATTAGCTTCACATATCTTCCCAGCTTGTTTTTGTTGATTCCCTTAATCTACACAGATTGTATTATGTGAGGTTTCCTGGGAAGGCATGAACAGATGTTCATTCACCCCAAAAGAATACCAGCAACAGGCAAAGGAAACAAACCTGCTAAAGTCTAGCTTGATGAACCAGTGAGTTTATTAGGGCTACTTAAAGGAGCCTGGCTGACTCTTGGGGTAGCTGCATACTCCACCAACTTCACCCACAGCATAGGTGATGACTCTTAGAAGCTGCATCTCTAGAGTTCCCTGGATAACAGCTCCAACAAAGGATCTTATTTCTCCCTCATTGTTTCTGGCTTATAAAGCATTTGGAGAGGGTCCTTGTGAATCTTAAGACTTAAGACTTTCTGGTCCTCCTGAGTCTTAACCTCCTTCCTCCCAAGGAGCAAATGTTTCAATTAGGAAGAAATAGCTACACAGTTATATCTTCAGTGAACAAAAGGGTCTGTTTCTTTTCTTTTATAAGTATACCTTTCCTTTTTCTTATCTTAACGCATTAGCTAGGATTTCTAGCACAAGGTATAACAAAATCACTTAAAATTATTATTATGTATATGAATGTTCTGTCTGCATGTACGTTTGTACATCATATGGATAGTCAGTGCCAGCCAAAATGGGAAGAGGGTGTCAGATCCTCTGGAACTGGAGTTACAGATGGCTGTGAGCTACCATGTGGATACTGGGAACTGAGGCCCATTGGAAGAACAGCTAGTGCTCTTAACCACCAAGCCATCTCTCTATCCCCATGTTTTCCTTTTTGAGATTGTAATTTAATTACAACATTTTCCTTTCCCTTTCCTCCCTCCAAACTATCCCATGTGCCCTTTCCCACTCCCCTCCAAATTCATGGCCTCTTTTAAAAAACGTTATTGCATGCATATGTGTAGGCTTATATTCATATATATTCTTAAGTATAACCTGTTCATGGGCCATAGAATGCTGTGCGTTTTCAGGGCTGACTGGTACTGGACAACTAATTGGTGTGCTCTTCCTTAGGGAAGGCCACTTTCCCCATTCCTACCTTTTCTCAGTTGCCTACAGTTTTGTGAAGGATTGAGGCCTGTTCTCTGTCCAGTTTGGAACCTTCATTGGTGTTATCCTTGTTTAGCTCACATTTGGGCAGTCATGTTGATGAGACTGTACAGCTGTAGCTTTTGGTATTACTAAGAGACAGCAAACTCCCTGATCATCTGGTTCTTAAAATCTTTCCAGCCCTTCTTCTGCAATGTTCCCTGGGCCTTAGGAGTAGAAGTGTCCTGTAGATATATCAACTGGGACTATACTCCACAACTTTGCATTTTATTTCAACATAATATTTTTTATTTATTGAATTTTTGAAATCTTCACATTTCACATTCATTTCCCAGTACTTCATGTCTGACTCCTACCTTTGTGACCTCCTCCCCCAAAGAAAATAAAAAATTAAATTAAAAAATTTGAAGTCCAATATTTGTTATCTATTTACTCACTGGAGCATTGTCAAACTCTTAGTGACTTGTTCCTTAAACAGAACTGAGTCCTTCCCCTCCCCCACCTACTTCAGAAGCCATCAATTGTGAATAGCTAACTGTAGCATCCTTATCACAGTTTTTAAGAGTTCTCTGTGATGGCTTCCTGTTTAGGCTACTTTGGGGGAGTTAGGGTAGGGGTAGGTGTTGTTCTAGAAGACTTCCAGTCCCTCTTTCTCAATTATACATCTGCAATCATCAATATCACTGCAAAAATAGTTTCCATACTCTTTAGTTAGCAGAAGCATGGATCATGGGCTTCCACAGGATTTCTGATGACAGCACAGACTACAAACATGACCACCAGCCCCACGGATCCAAACAAGGCCCACTGGAGGCAGTCCAGACAGCAGACATCACTAAGGCCTTGGGCAGTCCAGACCGCAGAGATCACCATGGCAGGTTACTCAGATAAATATGGCTTCCAGCAGCAGCACCACCCATGGGCATCAATCAACATGGCTTCAGGCTGTAACAAGAACAACATACACTGTGTGGTCTTCTAGTGGTAACACGGGATACAGACATGAACACAGACCCTGGCTGTGGCGGCACCATGGACCCAGGCATAGCCATTGGCAGAAGCATGGATACAGACATCACCATGACCTCAGGTAGTAGTGCAGGCCATTCACATTAGGCTAATCCTTATCGCCATTGTATCCTGTCCCATCTTCACGTCTGCCTGTCTCCATAGTGCATATACTGTTTTGGTTTTCTATCTTTCCCATCTCTCCATCACATATTTGTTTATCGTAGTGGTGCCTACAGCCCATGCCATAAAGGCTGGGGAGCCTAGATGGCTTCTGGTCTGCCCACAACTCTGCATTTTGACCAGTTGTGGTTTTCTGCAGGTGTCTCCATCTGTTGCAAAGAGAAGTTTTATTGATGAGGGGTGAAGACTACTCTTATCTGTGGTATAAGGGCAAATGTTTATTGATTATTGTTAGGGATAATTTAATAAATTAGTGGTTATAGATTATCTTCCAATAACCATGATTTCACTAGCACTGAGCAGTTAGCTAGGTTCCAGTACCAGGAACGGTAAGTATCCTTCTTGATCGGATCTTCAGTCCAATTGGAGAGTTGTTGGTTACCTCCAAGGCATGTGTGCCACGAATGCACCCTTACTGTCATCATATCATGCTAGTTGATGTGGTTCTTAGGTGCCTTTGGAAACTTTCATGATGCCTTCTTGTTCCATGGAAGCTAGTCCTCAGGTGTTCTTTTTAAATAAAATCCCAAACATTCAATTTTATCAATCAAGACTCAGGAGCCAGATGCTGGGACGAAAGCTTACTTGCTCAGAGAGGCAGAGAAAGCACCCAGCAGATGCCAATGTCCCAGAAGGATGAAGCACCTTCCCCTCTTCACACTGTCTTAAACTTCAAACTGAATGTCCCTCCTTTCTACTTCCTGTGCATCTCTCTGTCCATCCTCTGGACTTCCTCTCACTCTCTATGTTTTTTTTTTTTTCCCTATGTTCAGACCTTGTCAAATGGTTGCTTGCTTTGCCTCTTGACCCATGGTTGACTTTTTAAAATCCTTTCTACAGAAAGCTTTTGGATTAAAGGTATGTGCTAGGGCTGAGCCCACCACAACTAGAAACAGGTTTTTCGAGTACACAGTCTCAGGGTTCACAGTGTGGTCAAATATCCTGCAACACTCAGGGGATGGAACATTGAGATCAGCTCCATCTCATGAGTCTCTGGGTTCTGTTTCTAAAGTACATGATGTCTTCAGCAATTGGGACTTACCTTCCACCTCTAGGGGTTAGGTAACCAAGGGCCACAGCAATAGGCTATATGTCTTGGGAGTCTCTTGGACAGCCCTGGTCAACTACCAAATGAGGGCTTCTCATATCTATATTGGTGTCATTGTTAGGTGGTCTTTGGCTCTTGGAGGGACCATCACCAGCCCAGATGAGAAATGTTCATTAAAACTATATGTATATTTATACACAAAGTTATGTGTATAATAGGTTTTTATTTTGTAAATGGTTAACAGTGTAATTACTTGTGGCTTTTTCAGATATTCTTGTTACTTTATCCACTTCCCTCCTTCATGTACTTCCTCACCCTTCCCTAAAGAATGGCTCTTTTCCCATTTGCCTCTTTCACATCTTGTATCCTGCTCTTCCCTTCTACCCTCCTCCCACTTCTTCTGTATTTACTTCTCTCCTCCTCCTTAAGGTGTCCCCTGTGTTTCTGTTTCCTTGCTCAGATTTGTTGTTCCTTGCTATTCTGCTCTCTATTACTCCCCAAGCCCCCTATCCTGACAATGGTCCCATTTTACTTTTCTGATTTCTTAGTTACTACGGGCTATGTATTCACATCTGAGGATTTGGAACCAGGAGCCTTCAATAAGGGAGATGTAAAGTTTGTCTTTCTGAGTTACCTGTCTAGCCTCACTTAAAAAGAAAAAAAAATAATAAAAAGACAAAATTTTAGCTTATTACTCCCAAGAATCTGACAATCAGTCAGAATAAATTCTACACATTTTCCTAAGTTTAACTCAAATATTCTCAATGTGATTACTGCTTTTAGACCTAAAAGAGTTCAGTTCTTAGGCTGCCTCTGGCCTGCATTCCATAAACAAACACACAATAACTGTATTCACTGGGATTCATTGCTTCATGCCAGCATATCATGACCTAGAATCCAAGTATCATTCTGCAACTAACACCTTTCAAGTCACTAGAGCTCCCCCATCTGCCTTGTCCCCAAATAGTGACACAAAAGGAGGCTGCATCCAAACAAAACATCAGGAAAAGTCAGTATCAGAGAAAGAGGCTACTCTAGCGGGAAGGAAGATTTTTCTTAGCTGGAAGACAAATTACAAGCCTGTCAAGCCCTTCCTCTCAGATGACAAGAGAGTAACTGATTCTTCTGTAACCACAGATTGTTTCCGTGTCACCGAGCTGATCTTACCTGGCTTCTCTTTGTGTTTTGATGGGCAGCTCCAGAGGCTTCCAGGAATAGGCATGGCTTTGGAGAAATTTCATACGAGGGCTGAGCAATAGCTTGAAGTATTAATAATTTCTTCCTCTTTCTTTTAAATCAGAATAGCTATAGAGTCCCAGTGGTAACACATAGAGAATATTGTGGTTCTCTTCCTTCCTGGGGGAGGGGGAGGCTGTTGGCCACCAGACCACCAAGGCAGGAAAAGCAAAAGGCAAGGCACAGAACTTGGAAGGCTAAGAGCACAATGGAGATCAAACACTCTGGGAACCACTTCAGGGAGCTAGTTCAACTTTAATTTGGGAGAACAAAGGCTTTATAGTCCTTGGGGAGTGGGTAGGGGTCTCCCAGGAATGGTGTACATAATTGGTTGGAACTAGGCACTTCAAGGATGCTTGATTTGCATTAAACAGCATACTCCTATCATATAAACAGGAACACAGTACCTCTTAATCCTATAGGCACAGGGAGGGGAGAGCTAGCAGGGAGCTGTGTCAAAGGCCATATATCAAATGTGGGTAGGGGCATCTATGTCTAAAGACACTCTCCAGATGAAGTCAGGCAGAGAGTAGGAGGCCCTGCTGGGGAGAGGGAGTCCTTCACCTTAATGCCCAGCTCAGAATGTCTATCCAGACTGGGAGGACTGCAACTTCAAACAGCAGGGTCCTTCCAACAGACTAGGACATGAATTTTCTACATTCTCTTATGGATATTGGATCCCAAGTCTGTGAATGTTTTTTTTTTAATTTTTAATAAAAACTCATAACATTTAGTTAAAATTTCAAAAGTGACATCTAAATAATGTTTTGTGTAAATAGCTTATACTTTAAATGCTTTAGAAGAAAAACACTTTTTTATTATTTATATTTTACGTGTATCTGTGTGAGTGAGTGTGCGCAGAGTGCACTGTGTGTATGCAGGGGCCTGCAGAGGCCAGAAGAGGGCATCCGATTTTCTGCAGCTGAGAAACCAGACCCTGGTCTTCTGCAAGAGCAGCAGATGTTCTTACCTTAAATTATATTTCAAAATAACCCCTAGACCATGGGTACACAGAATGATTAGAAACAAGAAATGTGGCAGCAGAACTCTGAGCACAAAAGCTAGAAAGAATAAGCCCCTTGACAGAGCTGATAGTCATTTGCTAGCTCTGGATCAGGAATGCAAATCCTCAGAGGCTAACTGCAGAGAAAGTGGAGGCCCGTGTTGTCTTCTGCTGAAACGATCAGGTGGCCCTGAAGGGGAAACCACAAACCGAGGTTCTCAGATGGTACAGGAATTGGACACCAAAAATTTTAGAAGTCAAGTGAAGAGGACAATAGCTGAAAAATAAGAGGTGGATCTTGAGAGAAATGACATAAAAGCCTCAAACCAAGGAACCAATTAACCCCAAACACGAGTGTGCTGCCTGCTCCTGCTGAACCCCGCTGGACATGAACAAGGATGTATGAGGGCTGCCTTTCAAGAGCTATTCTAAATGCCAGCAGGATGTTCTTCCCTTTGCCTAGAATGGGCAGTGCTTTCCTGGAAGGGAGCAGCAGGCTGCTGCAGGGCTTCACTCAGACTGAGCTTCTTCATCCCTTATACCAGTAGCCAGAGATGCTGGGAGCAGCTTGTTCTGAAATGTTTGTTCTTCTGGAGACTGTCCTGGTTGCTGAGATCCAGCAGAAACTTCAGAATAAAAAGGAAAAAAAGTCAGCTGGAACAGGGTAAACATGTGTGAACTCAGGGTCACCCGAGTGAAGAAGAGAGCTAGCTCAGACAGCACCACACCCACACTAAAGTGACTTCAGAGAACATAGACCCTGCCAGTCCAAGTCCTTTCAAACATAGTGTTCAAGATAAGACATAAAGCCCACGTCTTTTTAAAAATTCCCTTCTCCCACCCAACCCCTTTCTTTCTTCTTTTTCTACAGGATCTATGAACCCAGACTGCCTTGGAACTTGCTTTAGTCCAGGCTGGCCCAAAACCTCTCATCTTCCCTCTTCTGCTTTCCCAGCAGGATATCGGGCATGCAGCTATATACTCGGCTACATCTGGCAACCTTTCATACTAACACATTTCAACCCAGGACTTAATACCCACTGGGCAAGTGAAGGCATTATAAAAGACACTTGAAAATGAGCATAGCCTTCATTAATAATCACATTTTAAGCCTCTGTGCAGTTAGGGAAAGCCAGAGTATGGAAAGGAATTGTACATCTATTGTACTTGGTCTGGCCACTAGGCTGGATGAACATTCTGATTTCTAGCCCTGCTCCTCCCAACTCTTCGGTGCAACACCATACCATCTGGTGTTACTTTATTGTTAGTTTGCATCTCCAAATGGGAAAGTCTCTAAGAGAAATGGCTGGATATTAAAACATGAAGCTTCAGAGACACGTCCTAGCCGCAGCTTTCTCACAGGCTCTCCTGTGAGGGGAAAGTCCACTGAAACAAGTGCCATGGAGGCTCCCATTTTGGAGTGGGAGTCTGGTGAGTAGGTTGCCCCTGACAGCTTTGGCTGCAGACCTATGAAAGCAGTAGGTATATGGCTTCCCAGAAATCCCTTGGGGCAGAAATGGGGCAGCTGTGACGAACCTTGAGAACATGCAGAGGGAGTACTGCCTGCTCCCCTTTCTCTTAGGCAGGCAGGGTCTCAGGGAGCCCTGGAGCGCACTGAGCGAGTCTTGCTGGATAACACTGGAATGGAAACAGAGAAGGGGTCTTTGGGATTAGAGTTGTTCTGAGAACCCTTCTCAAGCTTTAGTGTGATAAAGTTCCCAGGGAGGCTTCCAAACAGACAGATTCTCAGGCCCTAGGCCCAACCAGAGAGCTCATGGTTCTAGTAAAGAGTCTTTTGAGAAGCAGCATTCTAGCTCATCCCGCCTTTACTAAAGGCTTCATGTGAGTCCACACTGTAACCCCGACAGACAGCCATGTCTCCCACCTCAACTCCTCTGGTGCTTAAACTCAAATTTCCAAAGCCTGCTGGCCTTCTTCAGGGTGTCTAGGAGAGTCACCCAGGCTGCGCTTCTAAGACACTGTCACTGCTCCAAAGCGTAGTGCAGGCTGTTGTAGAGAAAAGTGCGGGCGTAGGGACAGCATCAGGATAAAAGTGGTCACTTAAGGGAGGAGAAGCCAGTCGCTGGGAGGAGGTCTCAGGCACAGAGCAAGGAAGGCCATCTGAAATCACATTAGTCGGGACAGATAGAACAAATAACCAACTGAGGGTAAAAGGAGGACTTTTGAGTTTAAATCCACCTATAAAAGCGAAAGCAGACAAACAGGTATTAAGGAATAGGCTGTAAGGATAAGGAGCTACTGGGGAAAAGGCAGCCATGGTCCACTTCCAGGACTGCAGAGCAGTGACTCATGGGAATTTATTTAGTGAGTTGGTTGGGGTTAGAATGGATTCAAATTCATGATGCTCCTGTCTCAGCCTCCCAAGTCCTAGGATTACAGCCATGTGTCACCACACCAAGACGAGAAATTCAGCTTTTAAAAATGGGGATGAGAACATATGTGTAAAGGGAGGGAGGAAGGGAGCCAGTACAATAACAAATAAAATCAAGAGTGAATATACCCAGCTTCCGAGGGGAGGTTTGTTTTGGTATACCCTAACAGTTTCACTGACTAACCTCTTCAGAGAAATCTGACATCAAGGTAGTAGTCATTCACTAAAACAGTTGTACAACTCTTCCCTAAATGGCCGAAAGGTAAATAGTTCAGGCTTTCTAGCAAGAGTCAATGTTGAGGACATTGTGTATATTTACACATTGTTTGGAACACAGAAAACCATTCTTATTTGAGGATATGTCATATATCCGAATACCCATCCACAATGCAAAACCTATTCACTTTTAGGCTGTGACAAAAACATTCAGTATGACTAGAAGGTGCATTAGATTTGGTCCAAGTCATATCTCACTCACTCAACTTAAACCAGGCACCTGGGTTCTTGGGCTAAAGACTTTTGAGAAATTTCTTTTCCTCTGTCCCTTCCCTTCTCTCTTCTATGTAGCCTTGGCAGGCCTCAATCCTGCTTTCAGCCTTTCCAGTGCTGAGACTATACCTTTGCATGCCAGCCCCTGGATTTGACTTGCTGATTTCTAAGTCATGTTCATGATTACAGCTTTGTCAATTATTCTCATTTCTTTCTATTTGCTTTGCTCTATGTAGATCCCAGTTATGTTTTTAAGGATAATAAAGTTCATGGCTGTTGGATCTGGGTGAATTCTTCCTTTTTATGAGATATTCTTTAAAATTAGTTTTGTCATTAATTCAGTTTTGTTAATATTAACAGTTGTTCCTATTTTTTGTTTTTATAGCATTTGCACAATCTTTCCCATATATCCCAACTTTCTTTTCTTGTTTTAGCTATTTCTAATTTCATGTAACTAGGATTTAAATTTTCCTTCAGTTCCTTTGAATACCAGCAGATGAGAACATGGATCTCGTGGAGCTGGAGTGACCAAATGGTTGAGCCACCACGAAGGTGCTAGAAACCAAACTTGGGTCCCCTTTGAAAGCAACAGTGGTCTTAACTGCTGACCCATCGCTCTGGTCTTCTCATCCGAATCCCCCCACCCACTCAAGACAGGGTCTTACTGTGTAGCTTTGATGTCTTGGAACTTACTCTATAGACCAGGATGGCCTGCCTCTACCTCCCAAGTGCTGGGATTAAAGGCTTGTGCAGAGGAGTATCTGAGTATCTTTTAATAAGGAGGTTCAGCCCACTTGAAGCTATAAATTATTATTCCCATCTTACTATTTTTCCCATTTACAAAATTTCCCTCCTCCTTCCTTTCTGCACAGTGCTGGAGATTGAATACAGAGCCTTGCATATAGCAAATGCCCTACCACTGAGCTACTTCTTAAGCCCTACCATGATTTTGTTTTTTAAAAAGTTGTAATATCAGATTTTTTTTATTATAAGCTATCTATTCAAATAACTGCAATTCAAATACCCTGTTGTGAGCACTTGGATTTCTATCATGCCTATGCACAGCCTAGGATAGCTCTTGGTGACTGCCTCCTTAAAAATGTCTTGAAGTTCAAGAGTCAAATGTTGCAGACAGTCTATTTGTGCAAACCCCTAGGAGGGACACTGACATTTCCTCAGTGTCCTTTTTAGAACTTTGCTTTTCTAACTGCTGTCTTCCTCTCACCCCATTTATCATTCATTTTTTTGAGACCAAACCCAATGTCTTCTATATGCTAAGCAAGTGCTACCACTTAGCCATATGTCCCCAGGTCTTTCTCATCATCTCCCAAAGCCCATGCTCCTAACCACACTTATTTACCTATCTTTGCAGGCCTTGTTCTTAGCTTGAAAAGATTTGAACCTCTTCTCCGAAGAGTGATTAGGTGAGAAAGGGCCAGTTAGTAGTGGCTATTTTCTTGGGAAGCCTCTGAAGGAACAACCTTCCTTAATGACTTCAAGGAATGAAAGGAAGAGAGCCTTCAGCAGCCAGGTTTCAAGGGTGTAGAATGGAGTGAGGCTTGGTAATGCACACCAGCTCTTGGGAGGCAGAGGCAAATGGAATCCGTGAGTTCTTGAGGCCAGCCTGGTATACATGGTGAATTCTAGGATATCCAGGGCTACTTAGAGAGACCCTGTGTCAAAAAAGAAGAAAAAAACAAAAGCTCTAGAATGACAGGTGGGATGGAGTAAAGGCGTTAAGTGCTTGCTATCATTTCAGTAGATCTAAAGATCTCCTCCAGCAGAGG